AAGTACAGGTATTTGAGTTCAACATGTGAGAAGTAGAAAGTACAGGTATTTGAGTTCAACATGTAAGAAGTAGAAAGTACAGGTATTTGAGTTCAACATGTGAGAAGTAGAAAGTACAGGTATTTGTGTTCAACATGTAAGAAGTAGAAAGTACAGGTATTTGGGTTCAACATGTAAGAAGTCAAATCAAAAAGTCTTCAGAAAAGTAAGTTGGAGTAAAGTACTGATACCAGAAACATACTTAAGTACAGTAACTAAGTATTTGTACTCCAATTCTTCCACCTCTGGATAAAGTTAGTTTAATTAGAGATGGAGTTCAGAGGAGAGGCTGATTTGCTCTTCCTAAGCGTTGATCCAGGTGTTCAGCCTTATCTGTAGGTGTTATACATATGTATATATATATATATTGATATTTAATATATGTCTGTGTACCATGCGGACGGGCTTGCAGGAGGCCATGTGGTCGTTGTGGGAGTTCCACCTCTGGAACTCGGGGTACTCTCCGTGCTCCAGGATGTACTGCTGACCCTTAAAGTCGGGATGATCGAAGCAGATCCAGGCGCCGCTCTCCACTCGGACGGAGTTCACCCTGAAGACACGGAGGAAAATGAGAAAATGTTTGTGTCTTTATTAAATGCACCGTGGCATGAAAACGCTCGATATTAGACGTGAGGATGCCTCAGATAATAAATAATGACATTAACTCAGAATATCTGAGGGATTCAAACAATGTGCGGTAAATAAAGGAAGTGTAGTTATAGGAAAAAGTGGATTTAGACGCTGTCTAATATCCACTTCCTCCTTTGGAAATTATTATGGAAAATGTCCAAAAAATATTATTTTAATGTTTTTTCCAAAATGTTCAAATATTCTTTAAATACTTTTAAAATTATTCAATCTTTAATCTTTTTTTGTGGCAATATTTTAACATTTTTCAAAAAATAAATCAGTCTATTAAAAGCGGAAATATATTTGGAAAATATTTTAATATATTAAATCTTTCATATTTTTTTCATCCATCAAAAGTTTTCCAGAAAATCTGAATTTTTTACCCAAAAATATTGAAATTGTTTTTTAATGTTTTGAATATTTTCGTTTTTTTTATATATAAATATTGTAACTGTTTAAAAAAGCATGCCCAACTCAAGATATTCCCTTGTAATGTAACGTCGTAATAAAGTGTCTCACCTGTTCATGAAGCCGCGGTCCTGGAAGTTGTCGCAGTCTCCACGGACCTCCAGCTTCCTGCCGGTGAAGCATTTGCCCTCGTAGAAGACGATCTGAAACAAAACAGAGAGATGTTAAAGGTTCCCTATCATCCTCTTCTTCATCAATATACTACAGCTCTCAGATATATCCAGAGCCTGTCTCTGATTGGCTGAAACACCAAACAGATCATTGCAGCATTACCCATAATCCCCTCTGTTTCAGCCCCGTTTCCAAAGTGCTGATTCTCTGTCTGTTACTTCAGATGAAAATAAGGAGCCCCTCCCCACGCCCCTCTGAGAGAGATTAGGTTACAAAGAACTCAATGGTGCTCTAGAGGAGATTCAGGTGATGAGGGGGGGGGTTTACCTTGGTTGCTGATTGGCTAATGGTTACTCAAGCCAAAAAATCATTAT